AAATCACCTTCCTTTTCCAGGAGTGAAAAAACACATCCAGGTATATGACACGACAGTGAGGACAAGACAAGGTAGTACACTGAGAAAAGTGTGGGCACCATTTCCACCTCAATGACTTTAAACGTCTTTCCCAACCTAAATGATTCTGTGATTCTACGTCCAGAAGACTCTACTCTTCTGGTCACTTATAATCAAACTGGAACATGAATCTTACAGCAGGTGCATGGAAGAAATACTGACACAGTTCACTAGAATTAAGCTATAGCTCAACAGAAAATTGATAGATCCTTTCTTATACACAATGGAGTGAAACGAAACCTGAGAGGAGTATGATTGCAATTTCAAAGGATATCTTTGGCACAGGTATCAAGGTGAGGAAAAAAAAGCTACTTAAACACAAGGACAAAGTCTGGCAATGAACACTGGGATGGTGGAACAAACCTTCAAACTGAAATAGTGGGTTAAAGAAACCTAAATGCTAGTAAATAGATTTTGGTAGGTTTCTGAAAGGGATAATATTTTATAACTGCCTGCTGTGAGAGTAAACATAATAATCAAAAAAAGCTCCTTTAGTTGTTCCTTCATTACAGAAGAACTTGTTGAGATCTGTTCAAACTGAAGCTGTTAGGGAGCTCTGAATGAAACAACTGGTTTATTGTTGAATTTTTTTTGGGTGACTTTTAAAAATTTTCTTTAACAAAAAAGGCTATTACTATCTTAAGATTATCTTTTCAGAAGAACAGAGAATAACAACTGCTTTCCAGTGTTAGAAGAAAAAGCAGACTGAAATAAATATTCAGAAGTACCCACATGGCACATGAGCCCTTTGCTTTTGTTATAGCACTAGTCTCACTGAACATTTTAGAACAAGCTTTAAGACTCCTACTTTCTTGGTTATTGTTCAAAGAATGATTAATATAATTGATGATGTATCACCTCAAAAAATCCTTTGATTTCAGGACGGACTTTCTTCTCCAAGGACACTGTCTCCTTTCAGTATTTCCTAGTAAGTATCTAAGAGTAACCTGACAGGCAGCCAGATAAAGGGAGGCTGTCAAACCACTTCTCCACAACAGGAAACCCATTTATATGAAACACTCCTATAGAGTGACTGTGTATTGCAGTAAAGGGTTGGAGGAAGATGACCTATCCTTTTGATTTATATCTACAGGGGTTCTGGCATCTTACTGGACACTTGTTGCGGTTAAATAATTATGAAATTGTGAATATTCCAAGAACAACAAAGTATACACTCAATTTTACTGTGAAAATCATGTGAAATAGCTAAGCGTGCTGTTTGTATTTGGTTTTGTTGGACTGCACACTGCACTGAAATTACCGACTGTCAGATGTAATATGACAACCAAATGTTTGGAGGCTAGAAGTATTCTGTCACTGCCATGCTGTGGAGAATTTATGCCAGTAATCCTCAGGCACATCTGAGCAGCAGGACACATCAGATATTATCCCACTGCCTCAGTGGAAAATGTGCTTCAAAGCAGCTTGGTGATAGTGCAATGATGGGATCCCAGGTGTTAAACCACCAGCAGCACTTTGAGGTGTGCACAGAGCATTGGCTCTGTCATTCCTCCAGACCCACTACCTACCACTGCTCCTTGCCTGTCAAGAGCAGGGAACTATCATAAAAGTAGCTGCTGATGTAGAGATGGAGACACAAGCCCTTGCAGTAAGCACATTCAAGAAGGGAGAACCAAGACAACTCTATTTCACATACAGTGATCTCCTCCTCTGCTGATGACCCAGGCAAAACTTCCCTACCTGCTGGCACTGTATTCATGCTAGCAAGTACAAACTAAAGCACCCAGGCAAGTGGCGTTTCAGTTCTGCAGCAGAACTCTTGCGTTGCTCTTAAGCTCACACCCCTCATCTGCAGCTTTTACTCTGCTGGCCATCTGAAGGAGCTGTATGCACAGACTAAAGCCAGTGAGGATTTGTGTTCTCTAAGCCTGACAGAAAGTCTGCTAGGCCAGATGTAGGCAAGGGAATGTATGCAGAGAAAGATAATTACTAAGAGACTGTGTGTGTAGTGATTCCCTTCACTGCAGTATATGCAAGGTCCAACTTTGTCCCTCAATTTTAAGACTTGGTCCAAAGCTCACTGAGTCTAGGGAAAAAAAAAAAAAAAAAGAAAAAAAAAAGTCCTGGGCTTTAATGTGTTTTAATAACTGGAGACTTCATTTAAAGTATTAACAGCCTGTCTCTAAATAAAATGAATTTTATGCTCTTTGTTCATGTGCTGATGAATAACAAAACTGATAGAAGATTTGGCCTGAGAAAATATGCAGGTCTATTTACAGATGTTCAAAGGAAACTTTGCACAGCACCTGCCCACACATAATTCTGGCTCCTGGCACTACTTTAAGGAGTATTGAATTCCTTCCCACCCACACATCTTTACATAAGTAAAAGCTTAAACATCAATTCAGACTAAACATTTTTGAATGTAGAATCCCTTGAGCGTCATAAAGAGAAACAGTGGTGTCAATGAAACTTTAATTTCCATCACCTTCAATAACTGATGTGCTAAACCCACAGATTTTAAAACAATGCATAGTTTATTTGAAGTTATTGATTCCCTCTCCCAGTAAGTTCCTACTTTCCAGCAGCATGCTGAGTTTCCACTGGAGGCTGAGACCACCACTAGATGTTAGTGAGCAAGTGGAAAAAAGTTTCTGTCCTGAATGGCTGACAGAAAGAGTTGCCATACAACTTGCCATGTGAAGAAGGGCAATCTGGAGCAGAATTTCCTAGCTCTGGTGGGCCCATGGGATTTCTTCAATTTGACTGTGAAAGCACTGTCTGTGAAAAGTGGCTAGGTAAGGTAGTTCAGTATTTGTGTCACTGAGCAATGTAGTTATGTACAGTTCTTAGAGAGACTGGCACCATCAGCTATGTTTTTTTAGCAGTCCATTGATTCAAGGTAGGTTGAAAATCACCACGCAGGAGCAATAACAGAAGGGAATATTAGATCTTGGCCACCATCACTGATGTCCAGCCTGGTGTAAGAAGAAAGATTATATGACAGTCTTTCACTGTATCTAACAATAATGAGGGAGTAAGAAAGAGCTATCTAATAGAGAAAAGTGTATAAAAAAAACAGCTAATGATCACCTCCATTTGTTCAATCTGACTTCAGGAGAAGTTTTTAAACAGCCAGACTGGGGTTTGAGTTTGCCCTAGTGTTCAAAGGTCAAAAGTTGAAGGTTTTGTCTTTCCCTTCAACTCCACCTGGTCTTTTGCAGGACAGCAGCAGTCTGTCATTTTTTTTTTTTTTTTCCACAAAATTATGATGCGTTATCATCTTAAAATAGCACCACTCATAACCTGTATTTGGAAGATGAGAGGATTGGGACTTTTCCTGGATGATTTCAAAGCAGCACTGACACCAGAAAAGGAGGTAAAAACCACCACTGCCTGACAGTAGCAATGGAACTGCAGAAAAACTGGCAAAAATCATCTTCTGCCACTACGGAAACACCAGCTCAGCTTGGTGACTTCAGCGAGATGCAAGTGTCCACAGAGTTACAGGCACGTCAGAGGGGAGGGCCACGTTCAGATGCCACTCTGCCAGGCTCAGCATGGGAAGATTGCACTTCAGCCCACACCAACTTCCACAGTAATTCCCACTGTACCTCAGAGAAATACGTTTGTTACTCAAAAATCTAAACTGAACTACTGCAAAACCCAGTGTTGACCTCCTGGACCCTCACACCATTTCACTCACTGCAGCTGTACTGACTTTAAGAGAATTTACAAGAGTGTATGACAAAGGAAAAGTAGGTCAGTTGTCTTGAGAAAACCAACCTGCATCTTCAGAGCCAATTTATTAAACCGAACCTACATAATTTTGGAAGAACAAGGATCAGAACTGACTTCACTTTATGAAGCTAGCACCTGTAGACTACTTTCAAAAACATGCACATTTTGCATAATTTTCCTGCCTCTCATCAACCCATCAACCCCTTCCCTTGTGATTGATACTATATGCATCTTGAATTAAAGAAAAATAATAATTTTCAGGCACTGTTAACCATGAAATGGATTCTCCAGGTTTCATGGCATATTAATAAGACTGCTTTTGCATCCATTAAAATCTATGCATAATTATTTTGCAGCATCTCTTTAGCTGAACTTTGCTACAGCATATTTAACAATTCTGGATATGAATGTTTCTAGAATAAACATTTCCTTCCTATAATGATTTCACCATATCTCATTACAGTAGGGAGAATTAAAATTAAAAAAAAAAATTCAAAGCAAATATTGTTTAGATTAAAAACCAAAAGCTGGCAGTTCTTAGGGTGAAACTATGATTAAGTTATACAAAATACATTTGTTGTGGGTTTTTTTGGTTTTGTTTTTTCTTTTTTTTTACTTTATTCTAGAGTATATAGCATTATTCACCATCAAAAAAAGGTTATTTCAAAAGGCTGGCCAAGAGTTTGATCTAATATAGTTATGTTCATAAAATGCTACTGGCATTTAAAATGCCACTAAAATGAAGCAGAACATCAGCCATCCAGTTGTTCTGCCTCTGAAAGCTCCATCTGTACTTCTTGATTCAGCTCATGAACACAGGTCTCCATGGGTTGTCCCCATCACCATGCACAAAATTTTCCACAAATTAATAAGAAGATGGGTAATTTATCAGTATTAGGGCTAAGACTACATTCACCTTTCAACAGGCTAAACCATGATTTGTTTACATGTCTCTAAAAAAAAATGCTGAAAATATTTTCTTTAAATCTACTCTGAAGTCAGTAACACAGGAGCACTAAAGCTGGTTTATAGTTTATTCTATAACAAGACTGTCTTGGACCTGTAGGTTTGGCCAGGCCAACCTCCAACTCGAGGGTCAACCTCTGAAGTTAATATTAAGTTGCTCAGGCTTTTGCAACTTGAATTTTGAAAATATACCTATTTATATATTATAGATATTGAAAAAATGTGTATTTTTATATATTTAATTTAACACTCACCAGCCACTGCTGAGGTATTTCTGGCAGAGGCATCTGAGGAGGTGCAGGCAAACTGTTGGGGACTTCTTGCTTCTGTACATGTTCTTTTACTTCAAAACCTGTGGAAGAACAACAGATAACACTTTGGTGGATGTAAATGGGACATTTTTTCAACATGTGGACACCATGTCTGACTGTCACACAGTGAAATCTGGCACACAGTGCTGCTCACAGCCTACCTCCCAAGCACAGTTACTGAGGCAGGACTGGAAGAATGCTGGGAATTCAGGAATTCATTCAAGCAGAACAAACACATACTTATTCTATATGATAATGACATATATGCTATTTGGATCAACAAATACCAGACACAGAAAAAATGTACAGGAAATCATTCTGAACTGTCTATCCATCTGAAACTGAAAGACTTAAAACAGCTAAAATTCAAACCTCTTGTCAGGCGTCTACCATACAGATTAAATCATTTATGGGGGGGAAGATCATATAATCATGGAATCATAAAGGTTGGAAAAGACCTCCAAGATCCTCAAGTCCAACCATCACCCAACACTACCATGACCATTAAACCACGTCCCGAAGTGCCACATCTACTTGTTTTTTGAGCACCTCCAGGGATGGTGACTCCACCACCTCCCTGGGCAGCCTGTTCCAATGCCTCACCACTCTTTCAGCAAAAAAAATTATTCTTAACTTCCAATCTAAACCTCCCCTGGTGCAACTTGAGTCCATTGTCTCTCATCATATCACCAGTAACCTGGAAGAAGAGACCAACACCCACCTCACTACAACCTCATTTCAGGTAGCTGTAGAGAGTGATAAGGTTTCCCCTCAGCCTCTTCTTCTCCAGACTAAAGATAGCACAGTTGTGAATGTCCAATGGGAACGTACAGTGAAGAAAACGTGGCCAGCCTGTGGGCAGTATGTGGCTGGCTGCCTTTTACCAGTGGAGACATGCAACAGTTCCCATGGCACATTCTGGATGGGTGAGTCCAAAACCACCTTTCATAACACAAGAGTCGGGGAAGAGGGCAAAAGAGCAGACCCTGCCTGCTTCCCCTTCCTGGCAGCCATAGTGACAACTCTGGCCAAGCCCACAGCATCCATGTTCCCTGGGCTCCCTGCTGCCACCACTCTCTCTGATCATGGAGCTGTGGTGCAAGTCCTGGAAGATGCAGGATGCTGTGACACCCCAGCCTGGAGCACGCTGATGCTGGCGGGACATTGACCTAACCAACTCAACATTATTAGAACCACACACTGAGCACTTTTTCCCACCATTTCCTCCCTCCTCTCATTTAAAAAAAAAAACAATTCCATAGTTTTCTAGGTGTATTTGGAAAGGGAAATGGAGCCAAATGTAAAAGCTGCTTTGAGGGTCCTTTGTATCACTATTGCAACTCCCTCCCAGGAGAAAAGAGCAGTGACCCACTTGTTCCAAGGTTTTGGCACGATAATTTAAATCACAGTTGAACTCACTTCATAGGAACATGATATAGTTTATTTTTCTAAAATATCAAAAGGGAGATTAGAGTGCATCTCCTCAATGTTCTGGCAAAAAATCAGTCAGTGGATTGTACCCTGCTTACCCCTCGACTGAATTTAGCTTCTAGTGTTTAGTTTAGTTTTTAAAATATATATTTACATAGTCAAATGGATATCTTTTGGTCAAGATCATATAATTCTCAAAAATGTAATTAATGATGAAATGTTTCTTGTCATAATACCCTAGTCCCACTGGCTGTGAAGTCATGGATTGAAAAACAACACTGATAAAATAAACTGGCTCTAAGGGCCATAGATTCTTCTTTCTTCCTACAAATCAAGAGGGAGATTAGTGTTGGGAAACATTCCAATTTTTTTTTTTTTTCAGTATAGCTTTCACTTGTTCCTCTTTATGTAGGATGAATGCCTATTATGGCTGCTATCCATATCCAGGTCTCTCATGTTTTCCATAACAACAGTATGAAAGGCTACTTACTGGAAAAAAAAAAAAAAATCCAAGTGAATTCTACTGACTCTGTAAAACTAGTTTTTCCCCATTTTTAAAATATGTGTTTAAGTAAGAACATGCTCTAACATTTACTTTCTTCTATCAAATTACACAGCAAACCCAGAACTATAGGTTTATAGCATAAGGTCCCTTTGAGGAAAACAGGCTATGTTGACAATCATATTAAATCCAGCAACAGTTCATACTCCAAAATAAACTATTTGTGTCTTTGTTTTTTAGAAGAAAGTCTGAGTTTCAGAGGGAAATGCCAAGTGTTTTCTTCAGACCTGCAATCCATTGGGCATGCCAAGGCTCAAGAAGAAAAACAAAGTTTATAGTTCTGCCAGCTATTCAGAGTAACCACTGTTTTGGATGTGGGGCAGGTCAAGGCCAGGCAGCTATGACCTGAAGAACACATCTGCCTGGCCCAGTTCTCTCTGCTTGGTAGGGATTAAATGAAGAAAACAGTGTGCATTTGGGAGATGGAACAAAACAAGGGAAAAGATTTCTAAAGAATTCCCCAAGTGAAAACTCACTCAGTTTAAAGTATTTTACTAAAAGCCAACCAGCCCATTATAATAATTTCCACACCTTTACAAAGAAAAACATAATAGTCCATTTCCAGATGTTATAAAGAGCCCAGCCAGTTCCCAGTTGCCCAGATCCTTCATTACCATTCCCCATTGATCTTAAATGGTTTCCTCCAGAAATGGAAATATCCTGTTGGATTCACACAGTTGATTTCTGCAAATGCACATAAAGAGTCTAAACTCAGCACAGTCCTCAGGTCTCTTAGTGCCAGCAACCCAAGAGCTCTCGTGGAGTTATGTGGGTGGAGTAAAACAACATTTTGAAAAACATTCCAAATGACAGTTCAGCTTAGTTACAGAGTACTGCGGGTTTAGACATCCTTTACTGCTTTTAATTTTAATGAAGAGATGAATAGTTTCAAAGGGATGGGAGTACTGAATGTTATAAGTGATAAAAAAGCAGCAGGGTCAGCTCCAGTAAAGTACATGACTCCCTGGGCAGTTTCACACACCCTTGCAGCCAGCACAGGATGGCAGAGCTCCCAAGGAGGCAGCTCTTCTCCTCCCTGCCTCGCTCCTGTCCCTGCACCAGCCTCTCCTCTGTGCCAGCAGAACCACGTGTGTGGCCTCAGGTTGAACCAGACCAGGAAAGTGACACTGGTTAGGACTAAACCAGAAAAAAAAAAAGCTTGTGCAAGCAAAAAGGAAGAGGCAATGTATGACGAACAAGAATGAGTAGACTGGGGAGGGGAATAGGATGCTTTCTTTAGAGGCCATGCTGGCTTAAATAGTTTAAACTGTAGTTCCATACACTAGAGTAACCCCATGCACCAGTACAGGTTAGGGGTTGACCTACTGGAAAGCAGCTCCACAGAGAAGGACCTGTGAGTCCCAGTGTACAACAAGATAACCATGAACAGCAATGTGCCCTTGTGGCCAAGATGCCCAATGCTATCATGGGGTGTATCAAGAGAAGTGTGACCGGCAGGTCGAGGGAGGTTCTCCTCCCCCTGTACTCTGTCCTACTGAGGCCACATCTGGAGTATCGTGCCCCGTTCTGGGCTCCCCAATTCAAGAGAGACAGGGAACTAGTGGAGAGAGTGTAATGGAGGGCTACAAAGATGAGAAGGGGACTGGAGCATCTCTGTGACAAGGAAAGGCTGAGAGACCTGGGCCGCCTTAGCCTGGAGAAGGCAACATTTGGAGGGGATCTTATCAATACTTATCTAAAGGGCAGGAGTCAAGAGGATGGGGCTTGACTCTTTTCAGTGATGCCAAGTGATAAAGACTAGGCACAACAGGCACAAACTGGAACAGAGGAAGTTCCATTTTGAACATAAGGAAAAACTTATGAGTGTGACAGAGCACTGGAGCAGGCTGACCAGAGAGGTTGTGAAGTCTCCTCTGGAGACTTAAAACCTGCCTGGATGTGTTCCTCTGTAACCTGCCCTAGGTGAACCTGATCTGGCAGGGGGCTTGGATTAGATGATCCCCACAGGTCCCTCCTAAACCCTACCATTCTGTGATTCTGTGATTATGACATCTCATTTTGGATAATTTGAAGGCATATTTCTGGATCCTTTAATCACTTTTACAGCTTTTCTTTGAAATGTCATTTTTATCTCCTTGAATGTAGGTGCTAGAAGCGAGTACAATGTTCCAGTGACAACCGCACTGCGCTAAGCCCTACCACTTAATATATGGATCGTGCTAATGGGTAAATCCTGTAATAGGATGTAATGGATCTTCTTACAATGGATCTTCTTACAGATCCTGTAATAAGCTTTAAAACGTAAATGGTAGGTGCTGAAATGGAGAAAGCTATGGTCCTTGGGTTTTTTTATGCTTGGCCACATCTAGAATCATGAATTAAACACACTTAGGAAGGTGCTCTGGTACAGAGAAACTGATGTCCATACGGTTACAGTCTCGCACTCCTCAAAACCAAAGTGGGGAGCGATGATTTTGAACTGTCTGTTGGCAACACATCTTTGCTCATGCTAGGTCCCAGATCATGCCCAGGAACTGATGGAGGAGACAAGTCCGCTCAGGCCAAACTCACACCAAAGACCACTCTGTAATTTAAATGCATAAATAAAGGAGTTCTAGGATTCAGAAAAACACCCAGCACTGTTTAATTTACGTGCAGAGCTGTAGCTGTTGTGTCCTGAAACACCACCCACAATCCAGAGGGAACGGATATGACAGCTCCTCCTTGTGTTTGCAAAGGTGGCAAGAGAACGTCGTCTGACTTATTAAGGAAGTCAAATGTATTTCTTAATACAGCTAATCTAAAAGATTACAAGAAGAACATGCAGTGTCAGATCAGTATTGCTGAGCTTATTTTGATCTGTAAAATAAAGCTGTTTCTAAACATACCAAGTTGCAAGTTCTCATCTACAGATTTTGTTTTGGGTTTTGGCTTCTTTTGATTGACTTTTGGAGTACGAATCCTCCTTCCACAAGATGTGAAAGTTGTACCTGTCTCCTTCTTTGAGTATTAATTAAATATTGAAATGGCTCTTTAAAAGTACCAAAATAGAAAAGAGGACAATCTTTATTTTCTAGTTGATTTCTTTGAATTGAATCCTGTGGCAAAAATTTTTTCTTTACTAAAGGAAGGAAACACTGCATCAAACAAGACTTTATTTTTTAGGACTGGAGAAGAAACCAATAATGGTAATGCAGCTGCTCACAATGTAGCATTTTTCTTTAACAGACTGGTATTTTTCAAAAATCTAAACACTGAGGGTTTACACTGACAGTATTTCTGTCAAATGCAGGACAGAGGTCTAATGCCCAGGTGCCACTTCATACCTAAGGGTTCTGTAAAGAAATGTAAGAGGACTGCTAGAAAAAATAGTGATGATTAGTCCTTATATAAGTCTGTGCAAAGTCTGCTGTACACAGTGAACCATTTATATTGCATTTATTTCCATAACCTTGATGGAGATAAAAGTGATCATGCGATCAAAATGGCTTTAGATAGGAAGAAAAAGTGAAAGAGAATATAACTCTAATTGCAAAATGCAAAATGCAAACCGAACAGGCTGACAGACACTTCCTAGCTCTGGCTTGGCACTCCTGTATCAGCCATGCACCAGAGCCTGCCTCACTATCAAGGCTTGATGGATTTTGGGTCATTTAACAGAAATGCAGCATGCACCACCCACACAACTATAAAACAGTGCTGTGGCCAGCACTCCATCATGTAGTATTAATTTTCCATCAAAACTCATAAATAGCATTGCTGCCACAAACAAAATGAATTAACTGCTCTATCAGCAGAAGTGAAAACATTCTATCTAGCACGTAATTTTGTGGCTGGATTCACCCAAGGTACTTCCAGAATGGCTTTTGCTATATTTTACTGCTGAACATGAAGGTACGCATTCAGGAAAGGAACACTTTGGCTTCACCCTGTCTTTCTGTCTTTCTTCAATTTGGGGCTTGTCTTTAGCTCGTAAAGCTATTTCACTGAGCACAAACTTGTTCTCTGCGTTCTGCAAGCAAGAAAATCCACCCCTGACACTGACCTTTTGATGACTGTATCCTCAGGAGAATGTTAGTTATTACTGCTTTCTTTTCCCTGACAGTGGAAGTTAGATACTCATGGTCCAGAAGTTCAAGAAACAGGCGCAGCTCAACTATTAACTCTTCCATGGCTGAAAGACAAAACAAAAAAGACAATTACTTTCTTTAATAAGTCTCATTAGAAAAAAAGACAGAGTCAACTCTCATTTATTCACATTCATAGTTCTTTCCTAGCATTTCTTAAAAATGTGTGGTCCTCCTGCTGGAAACAAGACTATTCATTAGTAAAACCAACAGCATAGTCCATTAGTAAGCAGTACTGGCATTTGTAGCAGTTAACTTAAAGACAGCTCTTTTCACAGACCACATCATCAAGCCAGCACTAGACAATACATGCAGGAGTGGTGGCCATCTGCTCTTCTACCAGTGCCACTCTGGTTCCTCTCTCTTTACAAATCATTTCTAACTGCAAAACAAAACTAGAGTTTCATAAACTTTCTTGGCACACTGATATTTTCATAAATTTTTAGAAGTCTCCCTTACTTCTCCTGTTTGCTGAGGTAAAAAAGAGCAGGTATTCTTTTTTTTTTACAAAGTAAAACTAAAGTCTTTCCTACAAAAAAAAAAAAATCCTTTCTTACGATTTCCAAAGACAAGTTCTCAACCCATCACATAATTTCTTACTACTCCCAGATTCCTAATGATGCACTTCATATTGCTATGATTTCAAATCTCAGGGTTTTCCTAGTTATTCTAGAAAAAAAAAACGGAAACAAAAAAAAAAAACCACCACAACATTCCATCTCTGTATTCCCAATGGCTCTCATTTTTTTAATCAACAAACTATAAGCATGTATCTTCTTGTTTCCTTTCAAATTACCTTTAAAGTCTTGCATTGCCTTAGAAACTGCAGTAGCTGAGAATATACATATAAACACATTTGTTACAGCTTAATCATATGATACCTATTCAGCAGGTTTATGTGAAACCCATAGGATAAACCTCATTTCCATGCTTCAATTCTATTATAATCGGAGATTCTTTGTTCCATTCACTTAAGTGGACTCACTTTTTAAAATTTTCGTTTCATCTTTGTCAAAATTTCCATACTTTCTGTATCTGATGACATTATCATAACTAAAAGATGAGGAGAAACATCCATTTCATTTCAGGGCCACACCTAGGATTAATCTCAGTCCTACCCTCATTCCAAAATGCCTCTACTCAATTTTTTTTCTACTTAACCACATTTGTTTTTACAGTCTTTTCAAGGCCCAACAGAGAGACCACTGCTAAGCCTTTTTAGACTTCTAAAAAATATATTCTTTGCTGCTTACTCCCACATCAGCACTTCCCTATTCCTAAAACTTTTTCTCACACAGTTGTTTACCCAGGTGAACCTAGAAACCTTTTTCCCATGTCTGAGAATGTGTCTGGATGTTTAAACAACCCTTGGTCAAGAAGCATTTTTTTTATCCTATACTTCAGAACAGCAACATGCAGGGAAAACCTGCAGATGTCAGCTGCATCTCTCAAGGAGCTGTCACAGCCCCAGTGTCTCCAATGAATACAGATTTTCCCCTTTACTTGCAGATTGTACTTGCAAGTATGCTCCGGCTGCGCTGGCAAACCCGGCACAGAGCAGGCACAGAGGACATGCCAGTCTGCAATACCAAGGCACGATAATGTCTTTGCAAAGAAATCCCTGAAGAAATGCACTTGGGCAAATATTTTGTGCAAGCTACCATTACTTTGCACAGATACATCCATCCTGTCCGAGTTTTCTCTTGGTAAATATGTTCTATTCAACTGAGCAGTACCACTGCCTTCGTATAAACTGTCCACATCCAAGAAATATGTTTCTCAAAGATTTTTACAATATGTAGGCAGAAAGAGGGTATCCAAAATGACAGAAAAACTGTCCACATCACTTCAGAACGTAGCTCACAAAAAACACACCATTGCTACAGGTGAGATTTTTTCTCCTTGGACCTCACACTTGGACCTACAACCAAAAAAAAAACCACAAACCCCCAGCCCTTTTTAAAATTATACACTTCAGAAATCAGATGTATATTCTATTGAGTGTAGAGTGGCCTCTTGCTTTTAAGTATGCTTTGAATATAAGATGTATCATTATTGTTGTTATGAGATATATTTTAATTACAGAATATAAGAATCTTTTAGTATTTACTTATTTATTATTATACACGCATTTTAAAAACTATTATTACCATGGAATCTAGGCAGTCATTATGAAATCTAATCAGTATACACTACAAGAAATGTATATTTTTCAAGTAATTTTACAGCCGTACAAATTACTGTTGGTAATTGCATATATTACTGCACTAAAATTTCTTTGCAGTGGCATGTCTGCTGGACTCTTTAAGTCAAGAGACTATAAGTAGTCTGAAAAGGATCTCATCCTTCTCTTCACCAAGGAACACCCTGTGCCACAGTGACCCCATTTCTTTGCTGAGAATGGGAAGGAAGTAACCCCATTTCTTTGCTCCTTCTGGGACAGAAGAGACAAAAGAATGAAAGCATCAGATACCTTTGATGCACACACTGTGCATAACTGGGTTTGGCTGTTAAAAATTATAAGATCCTTGTAGTCATGTGCTTATAATCTACCATAAGCAGATAGATTGTAAAATGAGAAATGAAAACCAAGTAAGAGGCAGTAAGAGAAATGGAAGCAAGAGAAGAGGAGATAGGATATTGCTGCTGGAGAGATGCCTGGGAGCTAGCATCAGCCCAAATTTCTCCTGATTTCTTATCCCATAAACATGTGTCCTTCTTATACGTCCTTGGAGGAAATCTGTATTGCAGTCACTGGAGACCACAGTCCACAGACCTACAATGACCAAATCACCTGCGTTACTGCGAGCAGTTTAACTGCCCCCAGCACAGGGTTTACAAAGAAGCCTTAATTAGGACTGACAGAGGATGACAAGATGAAGCTGATACCACTGAGACAATCCTTAAAATATCTCAGACCGATTGCCTTAGTAACATATTCACCATAACTGTATTTATGTTTGGCCTGGTGTCCAGCACTGTGGTTCAAATATCTAATAGTGTATGATACAGGAACACAGAGCACGAGGAGACTTGCCCCTCCTGCCTTTGTAAGCCTGCAGGCATATGGCACTGACTTCAAGCAAGTAGTCATAAATGCTAGTCTAAAATTTTAGTACGACAACAGACTGAACTTGTTAGCAGCTGTTGTAAAATGCTAGGCATGAACACTTAGACATTGCTTCTCTTATTTTTCTATCAGGATTAAATTTGGGTTGCATTTTCTTTCGTGGGAGTTAATACCACCACAAACACCTACGTGTAAGGGCAGGAAGTTCTGAATTTCACTTGGCATACATGCAATGATGTCAGACATCCAAAAGGAAAGAAACACCGTTCCCAGATAGCAAAAAACACTCTTTCCATGTATTTTAAAAGTACACATAACTTTTTTAATACTTTTGCTGCTTAAGCAGAGTGAATTTAAAATATTTATAATAAGGAACTGAAAACCCTTTTTTCTAAGATGACAGCAAATAAACTTGTATGTACTTGTGAAAAAACAAGTTTGCCCGTTGTCAATCCTTGGCTTATTTTCTGAATTAAAGAATCTTCTTTTCTTCTTCCTAGAAATGTAATGATGTGCTCACAAAAAGTAATGGAACTGAATAATAGAAAATCCACATAATGCATATTTTCAGTAAGCAATCATTACTTTTGAAATGGAGACTAAAAATGAGAGGGTGATGCAAGTCCCACAGAAAAACATACTCCTCCAGTGAGAGATTACCCTTGGAAATCTGACATCACCACAAAATAAGAATAATAATCAGAAGGCTCTCAAAAAAGGGCCAATTTATTTGACAGTTTTGGCTGTATTCTCATTGCCAAAGGAATTACTTGTAAGTGGCAGGTGGTGAAAGGCAGGGTGGAGCCCAGGGATGGTAATCACAACAGTAAGCAGATTTTAGCTAACGGAGAAGCAAAATCACATTCCACATTAAATGATGAGAAGTCCATTCTATGCTCAATAGGAATTATAGGCCCCTTATGGGCTGCTGGAATTGCAAATAAAAACACAGTGATACATCCAGAAGGGTTTCCAAGACTGACTCTCAAGAGTTTTAAAGTTTTTCAAATGACAGCACATAAAAACTATATGCACAAGCCAGCAGAGGAATACACCAAGGTAAAAATAATCAGAAGGAGGCAATTACATCACACTGTAGTTTTTGTTCCAAGCCAGAGCTAAACACAACTGGGATTGAAAAGCATGATGATGCAATTATTCCAAATCTACATGTATGGGTATTAGCCTATAACCATTTTTAAAGAATATAAAGTTTTCACTTCTCATGGATTAAAAATATTTGTAGGAGCAGTGTTATATAACACACATGATTTCAAGGTTGCTTGAACCAGAAGAAAAGAAGGATGAACTCATCAGAAGAATCGTCCCATTGTTTTTTGGTCACTCAACACAGCTACAGTATTTTTTGACTTTGCCATACCACAAATTACCTGAAAGGGTTCTCCAGTTGACTAGTACTTTTAAAGAAAAACAAATTTAGAAAGGATAATAAGAAGTATTTTTATTGATTATTGTCTTGTCCATACAATACAAACCCCACACAAAGTAAACGCACTTCCATGCTTGCCTGTCTATTTTAAATTCACGCATGCAAACATGTCAGTACATAAATCTATCACAGAAACAGGAATTAAAACTGAGCTTTAGATTTTTAGATCCTCTTGATCAGTTCCCTGCACATTGCTGAATCAAACTTCTCTGGGCTTAAATCTTCTGTTCTCTTTTCGGTTTGTCATTTACAGATGTTAAAGGCCAGAACAGACCATGTCATGGAGATCCTCTAGAAGAAATCACCTAATCTGACTTCTGTACAACGCAGGCCAGAGCTTGCATCTAATTACTCCTCTGTTAGTGGACAGAGTTGTATTTACCTGTAGCACATCTTCCAAGAAAGGCAAAAAGCTATGTCAACATTCTGAGCCCCACTTCCATGAGGGGAGATCCCATTTAACTTCCTGAAACTGGTATGATTGGATTTGTGGATAATATTGATGTTAATCTTCAAGCTATATACGAAAA